CTGATTTTGTAAGAAATTTTGATTAAATTTAATAAAGATAAGAGCAAGGTCTCACCATTAACATTAAAAAAAAAAATTTCTATAGTGGCCACCTCTTCTAAAGATCAACCAAAATTTTTTTTATCAGTTCAATCAGACAATTCTGGAAAGATAAGGTCTCTATTGGGTGAAACCGGATTAATTTATGAAAAAAATTAAATAGCAAAAATAGAACAATTGGCACAAAAAAAAATTAAAAAATTAAAAAAATAGGTTGGCGAGTAATGCAAAACAAAAAATTAACTTTGTGTGGTCTTAGGTAACTGCCAAATTATCTTTGTTCAAATTTTAGATGTCTGTAAAAAAAAAGCTGCTACCAAATTTTTTTTTGCCATTAATTAATATTTTTCAACATTATTAAATTTGAATAGATGTGTGTTTAGAAATCATTGTTTAAAATTTCAAAAAGAAAAAATTTGCTTATTTTAGATTTTCTTTCCAAGATATTTCAAGCTTTTTCAAAATTTCCAGCAAAGGTTTCTCGACAACCACTAAATCAAATTCAATTAACTTTTTTTTATTTCAATTTTATAACTCTATAGAATTAAAATAAAAGTTTTACTAAATTGTATTGAATAGTTATTGAGAAATTGTAGCTAGAAGTTTAAAGAAATTCGAAATTTTCAAAAGCATTTTCAATTTAATTGATTCTGATTGGTGAATATTTGGGCTCCAGAATCAGATCGGAAAGGATCTACAGTGATCTGCAGCTTAGGATTTGCTTGACATAAGGGTGGGTACTGTTACTATTGTTTGAGAGAGCAATAAGTGTTTACGGGGCAATTTAGCTCCAATAGTAATTTTAAAAGAATTTATATGTATTGTTTGTTGAAAGTTTAAACATGTGAGGGCTATAATTTAGGACCTCAATTTACGTAAATCACAATCGGGCTCTTACTAAATTGGTCCAAGTTTGGGTTATATATGTAATTTAAGAATATACAAATAGGGTAAACTAAGGCTGACAAGATAACTTTGGGTAATTATGAAACAATAGAACAGGTCTATACTATGAAGTCAGGCGGATATCCTTATGATAATAAGGTTATTTTGGTTTTTGACAATAGTAAAAATCTAAGATAGGAGATTAGGGATTAGGTAGCATTTAGGGATAATTCTAGGACATATATTTAACAATATGAATATAAAAAAATAAATAAAAATAAAGATAATAATATAATAATAATAAAAATAAATATAAAAAGGTTCAACGTTCACTAGACAATTTCTTACTAAGTCGATTCTTATTTTACTTTTCTAAAGACATCGAAGTTTGAGAAAACTTTATTAACAAAAAATGATGGCCTTTAAATACATTCTTTTTTCTTTTTAATTACTGCGCTATTTTATTATCTTCCTGATTTTTAACTCTTGCGAGTAGATTGCTTGCAATCTTAAAAGCCTCCAATCATGGCTTCGATTTGCACACAAAATGCGCGCAATTTATTAGTCCCTTCTATCTATCATATAGCTAAATAAACAAATAAATGATAATAAAATAAAAATAATAATAAAAAATATAGAATTTTAAGCCCCAGTCTTAAGTCACGGGAACCCATGACAGTACTTAGTATAATAAGTATAATCAGTAAAAGCAATATATCGCTCAAACATGTATAATGTGTCCTAATTGAAAGAAAGTATATAATAAAGGCTTCTCGCTCTTAAAATTCGTCTCCTAATATTCCTATCCCTATATACCTGATAAATAAAATACTTGACCCTAATTGACTACTTAAGTGGTTTAAATAGTGAAATCCTTGTCTCTTGTTCACATGATAAACATAATTTGTACTGAAACTCTGTCCGGTTGATTCTCAACAAACTGAGGACTTCCGTGGTTATTATCCTCAAACTGCCTTGACGTACTGAGGTAGTTGTGGTTGTTTTCCAGTCTCCCAACGGATTGTGGATTCTGGAGTTGTCTATTCCAGTTCTGGGTTATTGACGAAGAACTCAAGTCGTGGTTTTTTTTTTTTGTTAAATTTGTTGTAGATTAAAAAAATACAAACATTAGTGTGTCTGTAATATAAGTCAAGGAAAATATACCTACGTCCCAAAATCACCCTCGTCCAAATCTAAACGCCTCCTTTCGACTAAGCCAAGCCTCATAGGCAGATTTTCGTATGATTGGCTGTCTAAATCAATTTAATTTTACATTATTTATACAGTTTAAAGTACTTTTTTAAAAAAAAATAAAACTACGAAGAATAAACAAAAAAGAAGTATATGGAAAGTTTTACTAGGGTTGTAAGACTCCACGTTTAAAAATAATCAAAATCTCTTTTTGTTTTAGAGAAGTTAGCATAATAGCGACTTCTTAAAGATAGATAGAATTAGGTTATCACTATGATAACTTCTCTAAAATAAAAAAAGGGATTTTGATTATTTTTAATAGTGGAGTCCTACAACCTTAATAAAACTTTCTATATACTTCTTTTTTGTTTATTCGTAGTAGTTTTCTTTTTTTAAAAAAGTACTTTAAACTGTATAAATAACTGATAATGTATAATTAAATTGATTTAAACTGCCAATCATACGAAGGTCTGCCTATGAAGCCAAGCGTTAAATTGCTCAGCTAAGCCGATCGGCTTATGGTTCTGCAGAGCCGTTTTATATCACCAATGTAACCCTGTGATATTATTAAAATTTAATTAGCACGGATTATGCAAAAAAAAAAAATTAAGACATAAATTGTTCACTTCTACCTGTGTATATAGAATTAATCTACAAATTACCACCATTTATAAATGAACTTAAATTGAACGGAAGATCAGATGAACAAACAGTATTATAAAAGTTACATCAATTTCCGACTGGATTTAGTCAATTATAGGTGACCCTGCATAGAGGTGTGACGAAACATTCATGTGACGAATAAATATCCACTAATTGATTTTATTAGTTAATTATTATTCATCGCTAGAATAATTGTCACTCCCATGTACCAAACCGCCAATACATAATAAATTTAATCCGAAGAAATTTACTTATTTCGTCAAATGCTCATTTCATTTTCGGATCAAGTTTAGTATAAGGGACTCCATTAATAAAATTGATAAAAATTGTTTATAAATCAATTGAATTTAGAGTAGGGTCCTTTATATTAAACTTGATCCTCATTTTCTGATTTCAAAATTTTATACACAAAATGTGGTGATCATCACTAGGGTGCTACGTATATCTCAAAAACGTACTAAGTAATTAAAGTCGGGATTCTAAGTAAAAACGTTCAGAACCCAAAAACTTTACCTAACTAGAATTTTAACTAAAATACCTAACTCTAATCTTAACCTATAGGAGTGCTCTAACATGATCACCACCGGTTATTTGTACGTACCGTGCGTAAACTTAAGTTCTCATTTGTTTTCAAAATCCACTAATTTTTTATTTAACTCTGAAACCCTTAATACTGAATCAGTATGGTACGGATTTTAAATATGCATAATTTAGGCCAAAAAAAGAAATAGCCGCTAATACAATGAAATTCGCGAATCAGACATTTGCGACATTAATTGGTATGTGCGCCATTCAAAAACATTCTAGCGTTAAAGAGTTAAAGAGATTAACGATGGTTTAATTGGATTTTGATTTTTTGACTTAATCGCGCTACTTTTACTTTTTCATCAGAAACAGTTTTTATTATTATTATTATTATTTTCTTTATTTTTTTACTACATATGAATATTAACTAACGACATAAGACGAACTATTTAAGCAATAGAAAAGATGGCATTATTACAAAGTTTACCATTTTATTTTAGTTTCAAAGAATCCTTAAATTTATTGTTATTTTCAGTGCTTCTATATATTGGCCATTTTTATTATAAATATTTTACTCGCGTAAACAAACTCCCGGGACCATTTCCCTTACCCATTGTTGGATCTGTTAGTATCTAATTTATTTGCTGTTTTTAAGCCGTCATAAATTTTATTTTTTTTTAAAAAAATGTTGATTTTTATAGCTTTGGAATAAACGCGATGGGTACAATAAATGGATTCTTAAGCTCCAACAACAATATGGTGATATTTTTGAAGTCTGGTTAAGTAATAAACGCAAGATCTATTTATGTCGTGCTGAATACTTTGATAAGTTACTTTCACCATCTACAAAAACTAAATGGTTATCTCGCGTGGGAGCAAATGAAGGTCTTCACGAACTTGGATTGACCCAACGAGGAATATTTGCAAACGATAACTTTGATAGTTGGAAGTTAAATAGATACTTTTTTAATAAAGCAATGCTTACTCCTAGTTTTAATAATAAAGCTATTGATTCTACTAACAAAATGTGGAAAGAGATGGAAAAGTATTGGAATATTCTTGGTAACGATTATCAAATCGAGTTATCTGAGTGGATGCATTGATATGATTATTGAAATTACTACCGGAAAAAGAGCTTATACATTGCCTGTATATTTTAATAAATTTACCACAAAGAAAATAGTTAAAATTCCATCAGCCATATTAGATGATTCAGAATACTTTATTCATAATATGCAAAAATATGTTTCAACATTCACGATATTTGCCGTTTTTCCGTATTATATTAGACATTATATACCAGTACTTAGAAATATAACTAAGGCGGGAATAGAAAGTCGTGATAATATACATGGAAAAATTATGGAAATTATTAAAAATAGAAGAAAAGAGATTGAAGAGAAGAATGATGATGTGGTATTTGATGATATGCTATCATTACTTATCGTGGCAAATACCGAAAGGGATAATGATAAGAGTAGCAGGCCTGATTTACGACCTATGCTGACGATGAAATTTTGGGAAATATTAGAGATGCATTCATTGGTGGAAGTGAAACGGTAACTATAAACTTCATTTATTTAGATAATCTTAAAATAATTTTTTAAATACTGCTTTAATTTACTTTAATAGACCACGAATGCAATCTGCGTTTTAATCTATTATATATGTAAACATCCCAACGTTTTAAAAAAACTTTGCCAAGAGCTTGATATGGTCTTTGGTGAAGATCGTGATCGTCCGTTCACTTCCGATGACCTTTCTGAATTAAAATATTGCGAAGCTGTAATCAATGAAGCGGCAAGAATGCATCATATTGCCCATTCTGCTCGTCGTGTAAACATTGAGCCTAATGAATTCCTTGGTTATCAATGGCCGGCACGTTCCGAATTTGTAATGTTTTTTGAAGGTGGAAATAAAAATCCTAAATATTGGAAAGATCCTGAGGTTTTTAATCCAGATAGATTTATGAGAGATGATAAGATAGTGAAAAGGAATTTTATATTTTTTGGTGGAGGAATCCGACAATGTCCTGGTAAGAAATTGGCAATGATTGAAATGAAAGGAATTGTTGCAATGTTGTTTAGAAAGTATGATGTTACTTTGATGAGCGATGAATTACATTACAAAAGTATGTTATCTAATTCTGTTATTGAAGGAATGTTTATAAAAATTACACCTCGAAAAAATATTATGTTTAGCTAAAATTAAATATCATAAACCATTTCAAACTATTTTTTAATAGTAATAATAAATTGTAAATTGGTAATTTATTTATTATTGGCTAAAAACTCGAAAGCCCATCATTTTCCGCGTCTAAAAAATTAATGCCTATCGGAATAAACTTGCTTGTTAAAAAAATTATATTAGAAAGTTTCAGAGCTAAGGTTAGGTTTCTGATTTCGAATTAAATTAGTGACGTATTTATTTCGAAATTATTTATAAATTTATTTTTATTTGTAAGCTTATTTATATAGTAATGAATATTTTGCGATCGTAAATTTTCTTTAAAAAAAAAATTTGCTTATTTTATCTCCGGACAACTCCCATTTCATTTTCTGATTTGAAATTTCGAAACAAAATAGAACTTTACAAAATTCAAAGTAAGTTAGCTCTGAAACCCACTATTGATACCTTATATTCATCTATTCCTAGTTTGGCGTGATTATGTTACAAAACTATTTAATTATTATATTATAGTTATACTATTACGGTATCGCATTATTACAATTATGATATTCGGCGTATAATTGATCCGAACCGTTGCATTAGGTGATATAAAAAATTACATTTTTGATGTATCCGTATAAACTTTATGAAGATAATATTAGAAAAGTAATTTTGAATTTGTTTGTCTGTTCACATGCGTGTTCAAATTTGTTAATTTATTAAAATAATCATCATATATGCTCTGGATCTATAATGCTATGCATCTTCGACAGTGTCGTAATGCCGTAAATCAATAATTCTACCGCCAACACTAATCTAGATCATATATACAGTACTTTGAATATATCGGGTTATTAAAACAATTGAGCTAATGAATATATGGTTTTATTTTGAACAGCCAGCCTTAAATTTATCGATTTTTTTTATTAACAAGAAAATTAAAATGCAATTATAGGCGTTTACAAACTTAGATACGTACGCACGTACAGTACGTACTTGTTAAATGTAAGATTGTATTGATGATTATTATATGGCCAGTAAAAAAATGATATCCATTTAGTTAGCATAGCGGGCTTTATTATGATTGGCTGATTTTGAAGATCATCTTATAAGAAAGTCTTATTAAAGTAACGATTTTCTGTCACAAGATTGAATTCGGAGCCACGAATACGAATTCCGAGAGTG